AGAAAAGTAATAGAAATAGGATATATCAGGGTTCTCTTTCTTGACACTCCCTGTATTTTGAAAAGTACTTCAGTATCGGACAAAACCCCTACCGCCCACCATGAAAGCTGGAACGCCCACAAGTGGGCGGTAGGGACCAGGTTGACTACCACTGGGCTACACCTATGCTAACTGAATTCACATTATCAAAATTGCTATGCTTTTATCTGGTTCATATATTTGTTGTTTTGTTTTTATATTGTGAACTGCCCACGTTGATGAGAGCCGGGCTGCGTCCTATCAAAATAAATATTTTAAAAATCATGTTCAGTCATGATTTAATTTATCTGTTGAAGAAGGCATAACTGGAACTAACTCATATTAACTCATGTTAAGCTATAAGTTGCTTTTTCAAAGCTAAGATGATATATCATTCTAAGCCGGAAGTAATCATTTGTTCTAGTTAGCATAATACGCGGCTTCGGCTATTGAAAATAGAACTGGTCATCCTGCTATTAACACATTTGTCTAAGCTTACATATTGTCATTGTCCAGCTGTATATACTTTACTACTCTGAATTATTTTGAGACTATATTACAGAGAAAAGTGGGATTGTAAAAACATATAGCAGCTCATACTTGGCATTTTGGAATATTTAAAACTTTGTGTAAGAATAATTTTGGAAATCTCTGTGGATGTTTCTCTCCATCAGTCCTCTCCTATCATACAATTGCTTCATCTCTTTTCATTCTGTTTCAGAAATTTAGATAATGTGGAAGAGATTGGGACTTGTTCCTATATTAACCATGTGATTACAATGACCACACTCTATATCCAGCAGGTAGGTGGAATATGCAATGGCCAGAAGGATGACCACAATCTTTATTAGAACTCTAAAGGGGTTAAGCAGTGGGAGCAAAATGAGGCTAAAGTTGATCCTCAGAATAATCTGTTCACTTGGAAACCAAATATTAAAACTGAAGTCAGCAATGATGTATATTTAGATATAGACAGGATATGTGTTTCTACAATCATTGCTGTGTTTTCCTTTGTGTTCTAGTTTTGTGCTTTCCTTTTTCACTACCTTCAGGGTTGGGATTTTGGAAAGGGGGAGAGAGGAGAAGTATGTTGACTATTCTAAACTAAGCCAAAAAGCATTACTTCAACATTTTATCTTTATTTTTGTTGAGGGGCATGATGTCAGGAAGTGATTGGGACTTCATTAGTCAATTTGTGTATTTAATTCATGATTTGTTAAATTAATTATTGTTAAGAGTTTCAGGGAAAAAAAGGTGGAATATGAATCAAATAATAAGGATTATTTGGCCAGCACATTGTGTGTGAAGACTTCGTACAACTTGAAAAAAATGTTATAGCCTGCCACAGATGATGTTCTCATATTTTGATATGCCAGTTGATGAGCTCTTGGAGTTTACGGTTAGACTGAGAAGAGCCTTTGCAGCAGTGGTGGGTTTCAAAATATTTTAGAACCTCTTCTGTAAGTGTGGCCTGCTTTGTGGGAGTGGCTTGCCAGCCATGTGACTGGTTGGGAGTGGCTTGCCAGCCATGTGACCGAGTGGGAGTGGCTTGGCAGTCATGAGACTGGGTGAGCGTGGCCAACTTGTAAAATGTGGTGAAACTCACTTAACAATGCTTAGCAACCAAAATGTTGGCTCAGAAACTCTGGCGTTTGAAGCACGCAAGTCTTAAAGCTGTCAAATTACAAGACCCTTGCACCCCTAACCCTTTAGAAAAAAAAATCCCAGGGGTGTTTAAACTTAACAGCTTTAAGACTTGTGGACTTCAACTCCCAGAATTCCTCCTCTCTCTCTTCATCTTGATGATGTGCGGACGGGCGGGAGGGAAGTAGATTTGTGGAACCACTTCTATAGAAGAGGTTAGAACTGGCAGGGACCCACCCCTGCTTTGCAGCCACATACATCTCAGCAGCCTGTGAATCAAGTGACTGGCTGGCTGTCAGGCAGGGAAATCATTGAGGATAATGTGTTATTATCCTCCTTTTGGTGTGTGCTCCACCAGGTCATGACTAATATGTCCCTTAGGATCAAAACATTTGTCTGATTGTGTTATAGCTGAAAACAGAAAAGCAAAACAAGTAGGATTAAAACCCCTTCAATCTTATATATGTTCATAGTGAATCACATGCCATGGGTTGGTTCACATATAATTTGTGGTTTGTTTGAGCTAGGTTTGCTAAACAAGCAGCGCGGACACATTTACACATAGGTAGCAAACTGAGGAGGTACCGAATGTTTTTAATTCAAACCATTAATATGTTTGCAAAACACTTCTAAAGTGTTCTACGCTCTGATGAAAAACTTATTTGTTACTTCCTTAGCTGAAGACTAAGACCAAAGAGAAAGAAGTGGCAGATCAAACATCTATAGAAGAGTTTGTGAGACATGCCATGGCTTTTTGTGAAAGTCTTTATGATCCATATAGGAATTGGAGGCAAAGAATTGCAGGGTATGTGAGAATATTAACACTCTGTTCTTGTTATTTTAATCTCTTGAAAGTAAAGATGCAAAATATACAACCCCACAAAATGTAACGCTAAATAGAAAATATGTTGATATTAGACAAAGGATTGGGACTTCATGTAATCCTGCCCGTCAAGTTGTTTACACTTGTGATATGCTACCAGAGTACAATATAAGCCTGCCAGTCAGATGCATCAAGACCAGGGGTGGGTTTCAACCGGTTCGCAGCGGTCCCTGCGAACCGGTTGGTCAGCAAACCCGGAAGTAAGTAACTTCCAGGAACGTCGAAGGGCCCACCCGCCGGCCCGCGCTCCTTACCCAGTTTTGATGAGTTCTGCGCTTCCACGCATGCGCAGGACGCATACAGCGCCTGCGCGATCCTCCAGGAGCAGCTGGAGCGTCGCACAGACGCTAGTCCGCATGCGCGCACTGCGCACGTGCACGCGGACGCCGCCGGCCCCGTTCCACCCGGTCTGGTGGGGAGGGGGGGGGGGGGGGG